TTTTTTTTTTTGGCACTTGGAATGGAAAAAGGTGGGGGTGGAAAAAAAAAAAAAAAAAGATGTTTTAGAGTGGCAAGGACAACAGGGGAGACCTGAAATCGGGGCTGTGTGCCTGAGACACTGCTGTTGTTTGTACCTGAGCAGTCTGTGTGTGAGTGGCTCTGCACTCCTGGCTGGGAGGCTGCCGGGGACTCCGCGCTTGGAGAAGTGGATGTTGCCTTTGAATCAAATCCCCTTCCGTGACAACCAAACATTTCTACGGATGTAAATGGGCTGCTTTAAACCCATTTAGAGGTTGATGTGGCCACAACGCAGTCAGTGGAGGAAAGGGTTTTTTGCAGTCATGCTGTCACAGTGAGCTGGGACATGCACAGGGCAATGAGGGCTGTGCAGGTGAGGACAGATCTTGCCCCTACCTTCTGTCTGGCTGGTTTTGTATGATGCTGTTTGGATCAGTAAAAATGAAGAATTTTGCACCCTATATTTCATTTAGATGTGGTTAGCAGTGAACAAAGAATTTTTTTAAAAGAGAAAATTGCATTTTCCTGTCTATGGTTTCTTCTCCCTTTTAATAAAAGGTGCCCTTGAGTGAACAGAAGCGTGACAAGGATGTACCTTGAGTGACAAACATTGAGCTTGGATGACAGGATGGACAGTTCTACATTTCTAGTAAATGACTTTCCTCTTCTTACAAGTTTTGTAAAGTACATATTTCCTGAACTGATTTTTTTACAATTACATTTAAATTTGTGAACAGTGACTCCATTATTGAAAAATTATAACTATGCTCATCATCTCTAAGGCTGTTTAACTAGAAAAGCATGCTGCATCAGGTAGAGATGAATGCTGTGATTACTTTTATAAGGTAATGGAGCCCTCACTTTTTCTAGCTGTGTTTGTGCATTAGCCTGAAATGAACTTTCTTGCTCAGTGGTTTCATTTGTATCATCATTTTCAGTCACTAAACCATAAAAAAACACATACTCCAATTCCCTGATCAGTTTTAAGCACTTCCTGAATTAGAAAAAGATTTCATGACTGCTATTCAACTGAGTAATGTCTGCCTTCATTTAAAGTATTGGCTTGTTTTATGTATTAACTATTAAGACCTGAGTCAATTGTGATGCCTTTTTGACATATTTTCAGTTTTTTCTTCCATGACTGTTTTGCTTTTCTCTGTTATCTGTAGGGTCACTCTCAGCCCTGGCAAACTGCTGTCCCTCTTTAGTCTTGATCAACACATAGTTATACCAACATGAGAAGAATGTAAAGTGGTAGGGTTACAATTTCTTTTCCAGTAGAGCTGCACTGTGCAATTCCAGTTATGGACAGACTAACTGTTACAGCTTACTCTGCTGTGAGGGAATAAACTATTACAAGGTGAGCACCTTTTAAGTCATGTACCAGGGATGGCACAAGCTACTCATATACTCTTTTGACTCCTGCAGAATAAAAGTGTCTAATTTTGGTGTGTAAACACATTCTCCTGAGCCAAAAGCTTAAAACCTGATCCCTTGGGTCACCGTGTTTCCCTGCTGCTTTCCTTCACCCCTATTTCAGGCCACGTATACAACGTACGTAGATCGCGGCATGCGGCGTATCGGGTGTCTCTGACAGCTGGCGACACATTTGCAGTACACACATAGCACCGATATTTCCAAATGCAAGAGGGAGCACAAAGACTTCAAAGGTTTCATAACGTTTGCTCATAAATTATGCTTCTTCCCCAGGTGGTTTTCCGTGTGTTTTAAAGTTTGAAAAAAATATTCCTTGTTCTCAAACTGAACAGAAGACACTGCACTGACCACATACCAGTGCTTTTTGAGGTCCTGAAGGGCACTCTGGGAACGACCAGGGTTTTTTGTTGCCAACAGTTACATATATATATATTTATATATGTAGTTTTTATTTTAATGCTATATATAATTTGTTATGATATTTATGTAGTTTTGGGTGGGTTTTGTGGGGTTTTGGTTGGTTGGTTGGTTGGTGGTTTTTTTTGGTTTTTTTTCAGAAGAGAGAGCAAGAGCCAAAGCAAGTAAGCCTGACATGATAAAATCTGGAAACTATATAGCAAAGGTACTTCCAGTTCCTTTTCTCGAAAACAATGCCTGTTCTTCCTTATATTTCGCTATTGTGTAGTAATACATTTTGTCATATTGCAAGTTATTTTTCAGTGTTTTCACTATTGTTTTGTGTACCTTTTTAAAGTGACATCGTTTCAGCTATTTATATGATGATTTCTCTGATGGTAGTAAACAGAAAATCTTAGCTGAGTTTCTGTCTTCGATATGCTAATTTCTGCACAAACAGAGTAAAATCAAATGGTTGCATCTTGCAGTGTACTCTCTGCTTTAACTATTTAAAATGCTCCCTCTTAAAGTGTTTGCAACTTACAGAAAAAATGTAGGTTGGTCTTGAGGAATTTGGTGCAACATAGGCGTAAAATGTAGTCTTTTTCCAAAATATTCAATATTTAATATTTCCTATAATTTCAAAAATCTTTTGCTTTAACTGTAGCAGTCGGAAGTTCAGAATATGGAAAAATAAAATTTAAATTAGATGAGGTAGAAAGTTTTGGATAAAATTCAGATAATTTAGTTTTGTTATTTAATCAGGGCATGACAGGCATATACATTTATTGATGTAGTACTGCTGACTAGAAGAGTCAATGCGTACAGAAAGAGAACTGGAAGAAGCAGCTGTCACTGCTGACAGATTAAAATGAAGGAATAATTTTAAGAATGTTTCTATTAATTGAATAAATAATCATTTTACTTGGAAGGATTTTAATCTTAGTCTCAAAGTCCTCATTATGCACTTACATGGGCTAAATGTCCGTGATCCTGGAGTAAAATAGGGTTAGAGAGAAAAGAAAATGGGAGAATAACAGAAAAGACATTTAAAAAGAATGAGAAGTAACCTATAGTAAAAACATAATGTTTGTGTAATTCTCACAGGAACATTTTGAGTGTGAAATAATACTAGCTAGATTTTGACTGCAGAATTTCGGGGAGATGTGTTGAGGTTTTTTGTATGAAATAATATAAGCCAAGGTATGCACAGAGGTTATCTTGATTTTCATCAAGTAGGCTACATCCAAAAGATCAAGCTACGGTTGTCTGTCCAAACTCAGTTCTGTTGCTCTACAGAACATCATCTGCTCTGAGCGAGAAAGTAGTTGACTATGCCTAGGTTACACAGTCAGTTATCAGGAGTTCAGGTCTTAATTTTGAGCATTTTCTCTTGTATTGTGGTGCTTGCCTTTATTGAAAGCTAGAGTACTTCTGTAGGTCACATTCCTTTGGAGAGTTGTTTTTACTAATTTGTTTCTGATAAAAAAGTCAAAAATCAATTAAAAAAATCACACTGTGAGTGAAGCATATTTCTGTTTATTCCATTGCTTTAATTGACGTCTGGGACAGAAGAAGATTGCATATTAAGAGATGGCTCTGAATGAAAATAAATCTCTCTCAGAGAGAGCGATGCTTGCGACTGATCTAAGGCAGAAGAGCCATTTTGCAACTGGGGATGGGGGACAGAGATCCTATTAAAAAAGCCCAGAATGTGACTGGGACACTACAGGGAGAGAGACTCCAGACACAGAAATAAATCTTGTAGGCAGCTCCAAACCAGGCACAATCTGGACGATGCAGCAGAGAATAACCCTTCCCAGAACTCTTGGAGAGCATCGCAGCATAAACCAAGCAGACTGTCATTGTCCAAGCAGATAGAAAGTGCTTTGTTAATTTCAAGTAGGAGTCAAGTGCACCAGTCACTGCTGCAGCTGCAACAGCTGCCTTAACTTGGGAAGAGAAGGCATAACTGTCAGAGGGTAAACTGGCAAAACTTGAGTCTTATTCTCGACGAAGGTGAGAATATGTGAAGAGGGGAGGTGTTTGCCTTATCTCACTGCCGCTTTGGAAGGAAGCTGTCTTGCTGCAGAGGTGTGAAATCTGGAGCGCAGCACTTGCACATCCTAGTCAATACTAAAAAGTGAAAGCCTATGGGCACAGCGGGGTCGCAGGCTCTGGCAGGCGTCTGTAGGCAGAGAAAGCCTTTTGTCTTCTTGTGTGAGGCATTAGCATTAGGCAGTGCTGGTAATAAGCTGTTCATGTTAAAAAGGCCTTGCTGAAAACCTCCCTAAGAATGCAGCGAATGTTTTTATCTCCAAATACATATTTACAAGCAGACTGCACCTCCAGAATAAATTTCAGTGGTGGCAGACACATTGTCTTCATCGTTGGGTAGCAGATGACTGTAATAAAGTGCTATATGTATAAACTTGTTTATACATATATTGATAGGGAAGGGGAGGGGAGGCAAGGCAAGGCAAGGCAAGGCACGGGGCAAATAAACCTAGATGGACATAGTTGAAATGTAGAGTCTGATTTACTACATTATTTGTGAAGTCCTAGAGATATTACCGTAGAATGACAGAAAAAACATTACCCAGCTCCAACTTTATAATTAAAGGGTCAGATTGCAGTTTTATCTGCATTTTGAAGGAAACAGGACAGAGATTCATAAGATGTTGCATTAAAATACAGAAAAGTGGATACTTGAAGCAGAGACAAACTGGTAGCAGGAAAAATGCTGGGCTTCTAAAGCAAAACAAGCATGGATTTGTTGAGATAGGCTGCAAAAAAAATCCAACTCCATTTGTTGCACACCAGCAGCAGACTGCTGCTGGTTAGCAGACTGTCCAGACAATTCAAGGAAGATTTTCAGTCCACTCACCAGCTGGTTTTTAAAAAGAAGAGGGCAGGGGAATCCCTCGTGATGCTTGATATAGATACTCCTCTGTAAGGATGAGTAGCAGTTCCATCTTGCCACACCACTTCAAACGAAAAGCAGGGATGGAGTGAACAACTGTCATAGGTTTACTTGTTCTGAAAAAACAGGCAGGGATTTTTTCTTTCCCCTGCATTGCCATAAAGGGGGAATGTTGAATGGGGGAGAGTAGTTTTGCCTTGGGTGACTGACCCACACGAAAGAACTAACCCAGCAGATCCAAGATGATTCCAGGCTGATGGCCCTCCAAAGACTTTGGGGAGGGGTGATAAGTTTTGGGTTTTTTTTCCTCTCTCTCCTTTTTTCCCACTGACAGAGAGAGAGTATGTATGTGTGTTGGAGGGGTGGTGCAAGGTTCACTGTTTTCGGCCTGGTCACCTGGGAGTTTTTGGCCCCAGTTTGCCTCCGTTTTCCTGCGCCCTGTTCAGCCCCCAGCCCAGACCTGCTTGGATTTCATCAGAGAGGCTTGACCCATCTGTAGAGTTACCTTCTAGGGAGGAGGTCGCCCTTTCCCTCCTCCACTCCAGTGTTGGCAGTGGCTTGTGTCCATCAACAAAAGGGCGGAAATCCCAGCCACAGCCAGCTGCAGACAGAATGAGTTTCTTGAGAAGAGCCCCCTTTTTTCCCCCTCAGTTGGAGCCTCTTAATTTCAGATTTACAATCACTTGTAAGGGAGGAGTTTGTTCTTCCTCATAACTCATCCTCCTTATCAAAACACTTCAGTCTCATTAAACTGAGACACCTGCTATGTCATCTGAGGTGTGACTTGATTGTCAGCAGCTCAAGGCTACATCAAATTAACCCTCAGCCTACTCCAGATTAGAAAAACTGGGGGTGAGATTTGATCAGACTTTATGCATTTTATGCACTTGGATTCTTCTGTTCCTTGCCTCCTGGAGCACTGTCTGGATTATATTAGGGCCAGGATCTTCTTTACCATTTTCTCTTCTCCATTTCACACTTGTCTGCCACTCTTCACACCTCTCAGGGAGGGCTGTTCCTTGGGGATTGGGGCACCAGGAGCAGGGTTCTGGTCTCCTCTTGGAGCCAGCAAGACAGGCACAGGGTCTGCTGGCGTCAGCCTGGAGTCTCCATCATCAGACATATCTTCACTGGGACGCAGGGACAACCTCAATACACAGTTTCAGTATGGTAGTCCAGATAAATGGTCCCTGGCCAGGCACAGGTGTAGCTGGGACACCTCAGGCAGGAACCAAGGACAAGAGCCTCAGCTTAAAAGCAGAGTATCCTGTGAAGCAGGATAGCCCTTGCTGACCTCTGCTCTCCTTCTCTCAAGGCCACCAGCTGTCCTTTCTCAAATCTGACCCCGAGCTTGTGAGGTTGAACACCCAGAAGCTCCTGAGTACTCTGCAGAGCTTGTTCCATCTGTTTGATCAGGGACATAGCCCATCTGCCGCCGACCCTAACTTTCATTCCCTCCTCCTTATTGTGGTCTTCAGAACTGCCACACCTACTCTACGCTATCACTAAATTGGGTTCAAGGCAAGTAACACTTTCTCGGCTACAAGGTGAGCTTTTTCCAAGGCCTTTGCTTGACAGCGTTTGTGGACAGGTGGTTCTCTGAGTTTCCAGGACTACATGAATAACAGTGCTTTCTGCTGAAAATACCGTGTGTATTTACAACGTAGACTGCTGATAAATCTCTGAGGAAATTCTGGCTACAAATTAGGTACATTCTGGTTTGCCACAGGCTACACTTTATTGGACATGAATTTAAGTAGTTTGCAGACGAGTACAGCTGAACTGTACAAATATTGGTTGACTGACAATCTTACAGTTTGGTGGCACTGTCAAAATAACAAACAAACTATTAAAGACTTGTGAACATAACTCTGAATTATATTTAGGGTTGCTAAATTAGAGAACAGAACAATTGAAACCTAGATTTTCAGTACACACAATTCATTCAACCTTCGGATTCATAAACCCAATATAATTGGAAACTGATATCAGAAGTTCTGGAAACTCACAGAAAGATGAAGAGACAGGTAGATGGAGCAAACCACCAGTGTGATTTGGCTCTCAGAATGTGCCATTTCCTTGTGAAAATGACACTCTGCACATGTCTACTTTACAAAATTATATTTGAAAAAGCAGTCCAACCAGAAGAATTAACCAGTGGTTACATGATTGCTTTTTCTTTTTACATCAGAGGGATGCAGATTGGGGAGGAAGAGTGCTTTATTTAATACCAGGAAGGCAGAAGATAAGGGCTTTGATTCAAGTATTTTGTATGAGAAAGACTCAGGCAACCAGCACAGGATGGAGCAGCCTTAGCAGCAAGACATAACTGTTCCTGAATGCAGCAGCAGTGGAATTATTGCCACCTGACAAAGCTGGTGTTGATGCTTAAAGGCAGCATCTGTAGGCTCAGGCAGCATTTCAAAGCAACCCAAATACCGTCAGCTAATACATCCACCAGTATGTGAAAGTGTGAATTATGTTAATGTTGTTGGCTAGCATTGCTGTGTTTGGGAAAGGAAGTTATGAGTAACTGTCTCCCAGAGGGGTTTTCCCATAAACCCTGGGACTTTGCTATAAACTCCTTTGCTGTAAACCCCTTGGGAACACATTTTATTCAGGATTTCAAATGGTGGACTAGAACTTAAACTATGAAAGAACGGATCTCTTTCATTTGCTCTTTCTTTAAAGTATCATAACAGGTCGTGTACAAAGAAAAGTCTAGGCAAGATGGGATTTAGAGTCTTACACTCCCAATGTAATCCAAATACTTTTGAAAATCCTACTTATTATGAAATTTATTTATTAATGGGTATCAGAAAGCTTGATAAAATGAACAGAGCTTAAATTAACTGCTTTGGGGAATATCATGGTAACTTTTGTTTTGCACAGTATCAGGTATTTGTTGAGTTAGAGAGAACCACATTGCTGAGGTGACAGCCTCCACAGCAGGTGGAAGGTCACATTCCTGTGTCCACCCTCTTCATGTATATCCACCATGGATATACATGAATCTTCAGAGAGGATCGGCATCTGTCTACGGGCTGAGAATAGATACTTCTTTCCAACTTCTTTTGGTAGTTTTTAAAACAGGCTTTCCTCCAGATAACTAGGCTACTACACTTACTGTGGTGTGTACACATTTTCACCAGTACTGTTTCTGAGTGCAATTGGAAATACTGGATTACTTGGAATTTCAGTGCTGTGCATGATGAGAGATTAGGTGTATAGGTGGTAGATGATGCAGTTTTTTATATCTATTACAGATGACTTACCCCTCCTGTATTTTGCACTATAAAAATACTAATGGGCATAGATAAAAACATGATTAGCAATTACAAATAACATTTTCAAAATCAAATAAACCCCTCATCTATTAAATCAATAAGCAGTGATTTGATTCATCTGATTCTGAGGATTAATTCTGTAAGCCAGCTTACTGTTCTGATCTGTAGAGAAAAAGGAAACTCAAATGCTATATTAAGATGTGTTCCACTCTGAGCAATAAACTTGAGTGCATCAGAAAAACCAAGTTTGACCTGAGGTTGATCCATTAGGTTATACTGATGCTAAAAAATTGCTATTTCATTTAGGAAGCAAATTCTACAGATTCTAATAATTCTTTAATTGAAATTTAAATGAATACAAAACATTTGAGAGGCATGAAAAATTAACCAAAAGTCTTCTTGGCATATGAAGGGAAACAACCTTGTTCAGTAAAGATCTTTCCTTTAAATTATGGTATAACATTTGCAATTACTATAAGAGTTTTGGCCAGACATTTGTTTTTAAAAGGGCTATTTGTCCTTAAACTGAGACGTGAGAGCAGCTCTGTTTTTAGAAAATATCCTCTAAATGAATGAGGTGAGTTATTCCAGCAGACAGAGAGCAGATGCACTGCAGATGAAATCATTGCCCTGCAGAAAAACTAAGGAATGTTAAATGGTACATAACACATTGTCCTGGGACTTGTGCAGTGTGAGTGGGCTCTTGTA